TTTGGTTAAGAGAAGCTTTTTCTTTCAAAATTATAAATTTGTTTATAAGTTAATTTATATATTTTTACACTTTAATATTATAATAAAATAAAAGACAAAATAACGTTTTTTACTTTTATTTTAGTTGATATAATTTTTAATTCATAAATATTTCTTCTCACACTTTAAAAAAAATTCTTGATTTTTTTATATAAAATTTTCTTTATATAAAACTTATTTGATAATTTTTTAATTAATTTTTTATACTAATTTTTTATTAAATACAAAAAATTGACAACACAATAAGGGTAAAATGCAGACAGTGGAAGATGAGATGAGCTCAACATTTATTGCAATGCAAAGGCATGCTTGAATGTCTGCTCCAAGATTAAATTTATAGGTTGGAAATGTAGAGGAAGACTAAGGAGGGAGGAGGAATGGGGAGACACGAGCGTGCAAAGCACAACAAAAGCATGGTAAAAAATTAGAACATGGATTAATGTGATTGAGAGAGGCTTTGGAAATCTCACGTTGGAATGGGACTACCACAAAAAATATTGACCCACGTGCACTGCGGCCAACAATGTTTTTCCTTTCTTAAATGTACTAGTACTACACAATTTTAGTGTATGAGAAATGTACCATATTTTGATTGGCAAAAAGGAGGTCCTTCTTTTGACCAAAGTTTTGAATTTTTTAAAAGAGTTTTTTAACGTGAGTTATTATAAAAGTTTTATTTTTAATATTAATATTATTTAAGATTATTTAATTAAATATTTAATAAATTAAAATCAAAATTTTATATAAATTAATAATAAAAATATGTAATAAATTTACGCTTAATCGTATATTATAAAAACAAATGTTATAAAATTCATTTTCTAAATGACTTTGTATCTTACAGCAGTTTTATTCCGTTTCGAGGTAACAATTTTAAATTTATCATAATGGTGCTCGATGAATGTGAAGTAGGAAGGATGGCTAAGGCTTGTTTGTCTCATTGGGAAAAAAGTAGACTTAATTTAGACAACAAACAAAAGTAAGAAAAGGAGAAAACGCTCCAAAATCCTTCCCTTTTCAGAAAGTTAATCTTTAGATTTACATGTTGAAAGTTCTAGTTCTTTATTCCAGTAAGTATTATATATATATATAATCATCTAAAATTTATGTGTTGGGAGGGGATGGAGGCAATTTTCAAATGAAATTGAACAGGCTTGAAGATGAATCTAGAATAATTAATTTTACAGTATTCATACCTTAATTGCAAACTGATGCAAATTTCTAATTTTAGTTACTGACAGACTGTGCTCACAGTCTGCCTGCACAAACACAATGCTGGCAATCTTTTCTTTCCTTTTCTTTTCTTTTTTTTTGGTTGGGTAGTTAAATTTTTTTTGACATTTATACATAAAAAGAAAAAAGGAAAAAATAATGCACCCCTGAACCAATCATCAATTAGGGTTGGTTAGGTACACAAGCCAGCTTTGGTTTGGATAGTTGTTTTAAGGGGATGCTTGATATAGTAATTTGAAAATAATAATCAGTAGTTTCATTTAATTAAATAAATAAGAGTATTTAAATTATTATTAATCATTATTAATTAAATTAGATAAAATTATTAATTATTAATTTTAAATCATTATATTAAATAATTTTCAATTGTTTTATTTATTTATTATAAAAAAATAAAAAAATATTAAAAAAATAAAGAACATGAGTATATTTTATTCTCATCCACCAAAAATCTTGTCACTTGTCTTTAAAATTCTTCATTTTTATGAGAAGAGATTATTATTAAGAACATGTTTAATATAATTGGTGAGAAATCTTTGTAAATTTTAAAAACTTCAATTGCATAAAATATTACAACTTGTGAAAAATTATAATATTTTTCACAAATTAATCTTTTATTCATTTTAATTATTACAAATCTCAAAAATATCAAATTGGTGCTTTTGTAAAAAATTTTCATTTAAATTTTAATAAAATTAATACATTATTTTTTTTTTATTTATAAAAATAATACTTTTATATAAATTTTTTTTCCAATAAAATTTTATTTAAAATTTTAACCACATTAAACAAACACTAAATCCGCACTGGCCCTTGAGGCCTAGTGGCATAGCCACGGTGCATTCCCCCTCCCTAGCAGGGTTCAAAACCTGAACTTGCAAAATATGTTAAAAAAAAAAAAAAAAAAAACAAACACTAAATCCGTAACTTATTAACCAACACTCCTACCATGGATATCGTACGGGTTTGCCTACTTCCGTTTAATTATGACCGTACATAATTACAAAAACCAATCAGCCATTGACTCAGTCAAGAGTTGGTGTAAAGGAAAAAAAAAACATTCTTTCTCACCTTTTACCCCAATAACATGTACACCATGGTTATTATAAGATATGTTTGTTTGTCATTTTGAGCATGTCCCTGCCATGGTTATAAAAACTTGTGTCCTTAGACAGGCAAGAGAGTTTGGGTAAGAAGAAAAAATTCACCTACCATCTTAATGATACTCATGTTGTCGTTATTGGATATATTTGCCTTTCATTTATTTACGAAACTTACCATAATTATAAAAACCAAATTTCTCATTTATTCAATTGAAATTTTAAAAAAGAACAAAAAGAATTCTCTCACCTACCGTCTTCACAATTTGCATACCATGGTTAACAAAATTACATGCTATTTATTTTGATTTTTGTTGGTGCCATAATTATAAGAATAACTATTAATCTGTTGATCCGAATAAAAAGAGTTCGATTCCCTTTAAATAAGATCTCGAGTTTGAGTCTGAAACAGGTATTAAGAAAGTTTCCCACTAATAAAATTCGATACGGGTTAATTCTGAATTAATTGGGATCCGATGTGATTACCAAATATTAAAAAATTAATATAAAAAAATAATAAGAACAAAACTAATCATTAATTGAGCTTAGAAATTAGGATTAATGAGTTTTTTTTAATACATATGTTAATAATAAATTATATAAAAAAAGATAACTTTCTTATTTTTCTAAATTTTTTTTTACTCAAATTAAAATTTAAATTTAAGATTGAGTCATCTATTGAGCCTGCAGTTTCTATTTCAAGCGATTATGTCCACACTTCCATTTCTACAATTTCTCAAACCAAACCTCTCCCCTCCAACTCCGAGTCTCCAACACACTCTTTGAATATTCTCCCCATTTTTATTAACATTTCCGTTAATTATTCTAAAGAAAAAATTAATAAGTTTAGCTTTTTAGTCCTAGTGTAGCTATGAAAATATTAAAAAAAAAATTAATGAATCAAAATATAGAGAAATTTATTATACATATACCTGTGATTTTATACTCAGAATTGCATTTTTTTTATATTTTAAATTGAAAAGTGTATTTTTTATAAAAAAAA